AAACCAGATGGTTTCTTGATCAGATAGAAATAATTAGGATGTAGTTCTCGAATAATCAGGGTATGTATAGGTGTCAATGTAGCGTGTAAATATAATTCGCCCATATATCCAACGCACATCTAACCCAACACGCATTGTTACCCACATCTTTTTTCTATTTGACAACAAGCATGTTTGAGTTTTATTATTTTTTTAGATTTACGTATATACTGCAGTTTAATCTTAACGTTTCTAGATATGGCTGCTTTTATCCAGTACATTCCACCCTTGGATGAATCTGCAACTAGGTTTGGGAAAATATTCGACTCGAATGAGGTGGGAATAGCATTTTTCGAGTCTGTTCTGACACAATTTACTCTTTTTGATGCATCCTACCAAGAACAAGAAAAAATATTTGCTCATGATGTCAATCATATCACAAAATGTGCAAACGATGATGTGACATCGAAAAAACACCCAAATTGTTCAATAAATCGAATAGATAGCTATTTATATATTTGCCGTCGTATCGAAGAATATATCTCTCAGATAAATATGGATTACAAGCCACTTCGAGAACTCAAACAAAATCTGTTTAATTTATTGGCCTTAATATTCGAAAAAACGAAAGGGCAACAACCAAATATTCTTGTACAAGATAGAGATATACTTTTAAGAATGAATATACCTCAACACCTTTCATCGATCCAAACCATTGAGGACTCAAAAACCTTAAACAAATTTTTCGTATTAAGTAAACTAGCAATGCAAGCCTCAAAATTAATTAATGATGTTAATTTTCATCTTCAGTGGATCGATATAATATCCAAAGTGAAAATAACCTATCCCTCTTTAGATCAATTTATTCAGGCATATCAAAATAATAAAGAAGCATTTATAGAATTTCCATTCGATACACCAGTGCTTATTAAGCTAGTTCAACGAATGCATCCTCCAACATATGCGAAAGAGTCACCATTTATGACTTTTATTCGTTTGAATCAAGTATTGAACCTCGATCCGACGCAATTTTTTGAACAATTTCACTCAATATTCCGTCTTGGTATTAAAAACCGATTGTATGAAAAGAAAGACGTTGCTGAACTTTTTACATGGATCAAATCGCAAGATCAACTATTTGGTCAATATTTTAATCATTATTCTTCAAATGCGAACCCAGACCATCTTTGGGATATGTTTCTACATTTATTTACGATTGGTGCTGTCGACAAAATCGTTCAGAAACATCTGATCCCAATAGTAAGCCAGAGAGCTTTATCAGTTAATACTACAACCTTTCAACGATATGTAAAAATAGCTAAGAATAGTTTAGGAGAAATCAAACCTGACCATGAATCATATTTTCTCAATTTATTCGAGAAAATATTTTATGCTTATATTATCAAATGGTTCACTAATCCTCAATATTCGTATCAACTCACTCGTATTGAATGCATAGATCTTTTACAAGCTGGCTTACAACTATCTTTCACGGATCTATTAGAAAGATAATCATGCTTACTTCTTATTCGTAAGAGTCTCTTTGAAATTGAAAATTATCAGAAGACCAATACACAAAGACTCATGTACCTATTTCAAACCTTGAGAAATTTTGATGAGAAACTATGCGAAAAATATGATCCCAAGAAAATTATTAATGATGAATGGCTAAAAGATTTTCTCATTACTCATATTTCAATATGGTTAAAAATAGATCACGACACTCATACATTTTTATGTCAGAATCACAATAATAATCCTTGGACCATCCACATTTGGTCAACTATTGTGCATTCGAGCCTTTTAAAAATGTTAAACAATAATCATATGGACATTCTCTCCAAAATTAATAATTGGATGAAAGATGTTAAACATAGTACTTATAGTACAAAAGATATTTTCACAATTATTTTAGTCAAGAAAATATTTGAACTAGGGCTTGTGAAATATTCCAAATCCATATTATTATTACCGAATATTGACATAATTATAAATTTTATTATAGCTATGAAGGCAAATGAATTCATAGAAATAGATCGTCATGAAATTAACAATGCTGCCAACAATAATCAAGACATCGATCATGAAATCAACAACGATAAGAATATTGCTCGTGAAATTCATAATTTTATCGAAAATGGTAAAGAAATTGTTCATGAAATTCTTCGATTACAGAGTAAGTTTATTTCAATATGAAAATCTTCCTGATTGATTGCTTTATTCATATTCTATCCTTTACCTATATTTTCGTTGGAACTATTCATCTTAGGTAACGATAGATTCACTTCTTGTTTCCTGTCTGGAAGATTCTTTCAAGCAGATTTATCAGTAAACTTTTCTATTCTATTGACTGATGTGGCTTTGTTTTCATCATTCTATGGCTCTTTAGTTCATTATGACAGTCTATGACGAAAAATGCGAGTTGAATCGAACATAGTTCCTAATCCTATCAAAAATAAAACTAATTTTGATTATTCTGAAATGGGAATTATCAATCAATCGATACCTGATAAGAGCGCTTCCATGTTGTACTGTACTCGATTCAAGCGCAAAATTCAACTCAGAAGTTTTTCACTCGCACTGTATCTGCATGTACAGAGCATACTCTCAATAAAAGTATTTAATTCATCTTGTTAATAACTGTAAAGATACCAGATAATGACGTTTTTCGCTGATTTTTATTGAACAATTAGCATGATCTATACTTTTTGCAGAGGATTTTGACGATAGTCGAATAAGGATGCAGATAGAATTGATTGTTCGATGACTCTTTGAAAACGTGTTAGTGTTAATATTAGTTTTCTTAGCTGATGGAACATGAGCCAGTATACATTACGGTAGGATTAAGGAAATTTAAAAAATTCGCAAAGCGGTCTCCATAGAGAGATAATGTGATACCTTTTGGAACATCTCTACCTCAGCTGTCTACTTTGTTTTAAATCATATTCTTGAAAATATTAGCATAGATACTACTGGTTTATCTAATTAGTTTTTCTATTGTAGGCCTTTGTCTTCATGTTTTGTTCTTTTAAATACAAATACTCTCTCCAGTTCCCTAATGGACTTTTTTATTAGTCTTTTAAAATTGTGGGACTACATTCTATCGAACGGTCAACATGCAAATTTTTTGTTCGTTCCTCGAATTGAATGACAAACATATCTTTGAAATCAATTTTCAAAGTTTCTTCAATTTTGTAACCTGCTTGATACAAACTCCCAATACTCCAAAATATTGTCGTACAGCGCACATATGTCAGCATATCTAGCTCTGCCATTCCTAAAACTTTTTTTTTCAGTTGATGCAATTTCACTGAAGAAACTAACCTTGAATTTTGATTCAAACGACTATTACATTCGTTATAAATATTATACAGAAAACCTAATATCAGTTTTCTCGATTATATCATATTGGTTGACCACAAAAAGTTCAAGAAAGATAATTCTGAGTGTTCTGCTGAAGATGAACCATAGAAAAAATTTTGAAAATTGCATCGTTTAGCTTGTGGATGGTAGAAGGTTGAACGAATAGCGGAAAAGGTCTTCAAAGATATCTTTGTTATTAAGAAAATAAAAGTCCATTTTGAGCCTCAAATAGCCACGTTTTGTTCTAATGTAATTTTTTAAAAGATAGAAGTTGATGGTCAAAAAGCTATTGTTACAAAAAAGGACCTGATCCCCTTTTTTTTACACCTTCGAAAGAATTTTAACAGACTTTTTTCTAAACATTCGACTTTTCACTCTAGACCAAATCCTACGAGCTCAGAAAGTGAAACTCTTAAAGCATAAACTGTCGAGCGAGACGCAGAAAACAAAACGGTCAGCAGAAAATCTCTAGACTCTGACCCGGAGGACACCATCATCGGGTTTTCATCACTGCCAGTAATTACCAATGATTACAGTTCCCCTTGCCCCTCTCCCATCATACAAGAAGTTACATAGAACAGTCTACCAATCGTTTATGCTTCAATATGGTTTTTATTGAATTATTTTTTTTCGCTTAGGCAAGTGTTCATTATATCGTGAACTGCTGTCTGATTCGATCATTCGATGTTTTGTTCCATTGGTCGATGTGTATAGAGTGTTCCAGACACTTGATCGTCAACAATATACATTTCCACAAACAAAACCAAATATCGATGATATTGTTGCTTTAAAAAAACCAAAAAGTCTAGATATTGCGAATGTAAATTCGAAGAAAGAATTTTTTGACCAATTTATTAAACAAATAAATGAATGGTTTAATTGGTTTGATCAATTTATTGATATTTTTCAACCTATTATTGATTGGTTAAAAGCTCATAATGTTAGTCGTTCGAATCAGTTATTAATTGATCTATTAAGAATTCGTGATGATCCTAAAATGACTTTGATTGAAATGAGAACAATTATTGATGATGCTTTAAAAAGTTTACAAACCTTCAAAGATCTTTGACGTCTTTGTCAACTATTCAATTGTATAATTCCATTTCAAATTCTTAACCAAGGAACATTAGATTATCGATGTGATACGGTGAAATTTCTCACAGAACTGAAACGTTTTCAACCAAACAATACACTGGTAATAGAAGGTTACAGAGCTCGTGAGCAGAATATTTCTATAAATGATCATCAGCTAGTTCAATGGTCATTGGTCAGTGAAAATCATCCATCTGATATTACTGTTGAGTTTCGAAGTTATGGAGCGAATGATCAGTATAAAAGATTATATCAAAAACAAAATGATTCTATTCATAAAAGTGTACTTCATGGTCAGTTCGAAAGTCAACGCGGTGGTCAACTGCTAATTACTATTGATAATAAAAATAATCGGATTCCTCGAATTGTTTGGTATTGAATTAAATCTGTTGGTGTATCAACATGCCATTTATTTCATGGGATATTTGATATGTGTTTTAATAAATATTATGGACAAAGTTCTGAAAATCTCCGTGAAGAAGATCTTAGTCGATTACTCGATGAAGTATTCGATTTTATAAATAAACTTTTAAATGTTGATCTAAGTTTACGAGCTATGACAGAATTACGAGCTGTTTTCTATGATAAAAATATTAATATTCGAGACGAAGTCAAAAAATTATTCATAAGTCGTTCAAATGAAAAGAATCTTAATCCAGTTAATGTATTAGCTAATCTTGTACAAGGTCAAAAGAATCAACCCAACGAAAGAGAAATTGAACAAGTTTGTGAATGGTTACAAGTTTACCAATACTATAGTCATACTAATGTGATTATAGATTGTATTGAAAAGTTCGATCTTTTACCGTTAGATAATCAAGAAACAAAAATCGTTCATTTAAAACGCTTAAGCGGTAATGAAAATTGTTCATTAAGAGAAATAACTCAAGCTTATAGAATTTTACAAGAATGTTTTCAAACTTTGACTCATCAACATTTACAACTGATTAAAATAGCAGTCGAATGTTCGAATGTTATTCAAATGATGAAAAAAGCTGATCTTTATTCTGATCAGGGTCGACTCCGTTTTCAAGAATTACGAGACAATTTAACGACACAATTTCAGTTGCAAGAATTAAATAATATGATACTAAATTCATGGATTATAACGCATGCATTAATCGAACCATTTGTGGATAAAGCAAAAAGTTTCGACGATTTTGTTGAACGTGTTGGTCAAATAAAAAATTTAGAAGGAAGTTCATTGAATCATATCAAAGGTAAGTTGTAGTTACAAGAAGTGCTCTAAATAGATGCTACAGTCGATGGATAATTTTTTTTTAATGATGTGTTCTAAAAATCTTTGACGTCCGAAAAACTTTAGTATAAAAAAGAACAAATGGCAATAAAAAAGACGTCGTAGAACGAAGTGGTTGTCTGTTTAAAAACCTAGTGGATGTAGGGATTTTTGAGTAGCTTGAAAATGAAAGTGCTTAGATCTTGGTAGTATTCATCACTAAAACATCTTTCTCAAATGAATGATATTCAAATTTAATTTCGTCAGTAATCACTTAAACAGTGGATTGCTTGATGAAGACTTTCCAAAAACTGGACACAGTAAAATGAAATGTATTCAACGAGAATGTATTGTAATTAAATAATTTTCTTCCTTCTGTATGGTGACTAGTGATTCACCACTTTCTTTTGTGTGCAAGGCCTCATATCAACAATGCGACTGAACCGAAGAAATTTATATTATCACATTAGCTGTTTTTCTAAATAATATCTCACTCATGTCTTAGCTGAGAACATGTCCATTGCGATTGATGGTAGAGAAGATTATCCCGAAGTAGTCTGGTGAATATTGGAGTGACTCGAGGCCAGAAAAATTCTGAGAGCTGACCATCTTGAGTATTCGATTTTACACAAAAAATGAAAAAGGTGTTACATCATGGATTCGAACCAGGGTTTCAGAATGTTTCGTGTTGTCTCTTGATAGAATATGCGACACATTGTATTTGAGTATGTACTCTGAAGATATTCTCTTTTGAATTTCAGACTGTTAAAATCACTATTTAATAGGAAATGTTCCTCAATTAAATATCATATTTCACTAGCCTTGATGAATTATTTATGTCTAGCTGTTTTTCATGATGACCATCATCGATCACTGTTAAGAAATCTCAGAAAAATTCTCATGACTCACAAATAGACATTGCTAAGAATACTAACTTTATAAAAATGAAAAGAAAGAAATACTTCATACAGCTTAATTCTTTTAAAATTCTAAATCGAAAAATATTTTTTGAGTATTATTATGAAAAATCTTCGCTATATAATCGTATGCTTGATTTAGTTTGCCCGTCAATAAGACAATATGAAAACCCGGAAAATTGATCCTAAGGATCTGAAAGAGTACTTTATATCTCTAATCATAAGAAATCAATTCTTGAAGTAACCGCTTGAACTGAAGAAAAAGAGGAAGCGCTTTCAGAAGTCACTTATATTCACGCTTTTCTTCTGACGATCAATGTCAATACATAAAACTCGAAAATATCAAATAAATAAATAAATAATATTTTTTAGTAATTAACGATAATATACAACTTGTTACACTATGGTTATCAGCAGAAGAAACGACAGTGTTAGACAATGCTTTGATTACTATGGAACATTTATATAAAAATGGTACTGTTGATATTCACTTACGACGTTTAATAAGAAAGCAATCGTACTATGAAATCGGCTATTCAATTGATCGTATTCAAGTTGGAATGAAAAAAGTGACTGATGATGAAAATACCTTTGAAGATAATGATGGTATCGAAGCAAAAAAAATTAAATTTCTATTGTCCATGTCGGATATTGATGATCATAAACGTCAATTAACATTTTGTTACGCTGATGTGCAAGAAAATTTAACCTCTAAGAAAGCTATAATCAATGGACAGTTGAAATTATTAGAAATTATTGAGAATATCTATCACATGTTAACTAAATTAGAAAGAGGTGGTCATCCTGATTATCAATTACTAGATGAACATTACGAAATAGATCTTCAAGAAGGTAAGAAGATATTTCCTGACAAATGATGAAACGCATTTGTTTACACTTCTTTTCAGTTCAAGCCGGATTTATATCAACTGATTCACAAGATCATCAAAATGCTCAACTAGAAAATGGTATTCGTATTCGAATTCAAAGTTTAGAATTAATAAAAAATACTTTGAAAACTGCATATGATATATGGATACAAAGTTTGAAGAAATATCGTCAACAATGTTCACTATTGAAATTATTTTCTAGTTGTGAAATTCTGATTTTAATTATTTTACTTCAAACATTCAATGAACCAAATTCTATTCGAAATCAATTTTTTTAAAATTTATTCGAACTTGAAGATTTAAATAATCAAAATGAAAAGGAACAAAAATTAACAATACATTTTCTTGCGCCTCATATTCGTTCATTAAGAATTTCAGAAGTAAATTTAACAAACGATCATCTTCTTCAACTTTATCAAAAATACCGTATCGAAGCCAAATCAAATACTGATGTCTGTTTAAAAAAATTAGCAGGATTTCTTCAAAATCTATTTGAAAATAAAAGAGAACTGTTTCAACAAGGAGAAGTACAGAATGCAAATCAACAATTTCTTGTCAACATCAGTCGTCCTCCACCAACTACAAATCAAAAATCTTTTGCACATGATTTCGATCTTGATACCTGTTGTATTCTTTTGAATATCTTTCAAAGTCAGTTGCCAGCTTCCTATCAAATTCTCTAGTGTTTGAATACTACTGAACAAGATATTCATTTATTTTTTTTCTCGTATACGTACATTTACTTCACTTACTTTCGCTATCATGGATATTGATAAAATGCATCATCGTCTCCGAGAAATACTTTTAATTGAACAAGATTTATTGACTCGTGAACAAGGTGTACATGGTCTGGTGTTCTATTTCTCACGTGAATTAACAACTGCTCGAAAAGGTCTAAGAGAATTTCATATACCAGCTAATTATAAAGATTCTAATCAAAGTTATAAACATTTAATGGATCTCTTTAACGAACAGCATATTTCACCACCAAATATTCAAAGCATCTACGGTAAAGCGGGTATTGGTAAGTAAATCGTTATTGTTGTTTACAAAAATAATAATTCTCCCATTTTTTTTTTCATTTCAGGTAAAACTCATCGCATCAACAAGGAATATAAAACTGACGATACGTCATGTTTTAGTATAAATGATAAATTAAATCTTTCACTATTAATTAGTTCATTTCTTTCATTTAATTCAAGTGTTATTAATCATAGTCCATCGATCTTTTTCAATATATCTGTTCATGCACCATTCGAAATTTTAAATCGAACTTTGTTTTCTCTTTTCATTTGTGGATCTTTAAATGATCCAACCAGTGGTCTAATATTTTCATTACCGCATACTGAAGCATGGAAATTTATCATTGAAGTTCCTTATTCGGATCTTTCTCAAGCTAGTATTCGAGAAAATTTCAATCAAATTGTACCGATTATTTCCGTTATATCTCCATCAACATTAGAAGAAGTCACTGACGAGAATTATAAATTATTCATTAGTAAAGAAGAAGAACTTGTAGCTCGATTCTTAAAAGCATTTCAAGATGGAACAATTAATCGTATGGTGGAAACAACAAAAACTGGTGAAGATAAACCGGTTAGTTTCGAACCATTAACAGATACTGATGAATGTCGCTCATGTATATACAACTGCATTGAAAAATATGCTCCAAATTTACCAAAAAACAAAATTTATGAACTTTCATTTACGAAATTTTTATATCGTCGCGCATGTTTCTTTAAAGGGCATTACTATTGTTGGAATCAATCTATTGAACGATTAGGTAGTATTGCTATGCAACAAATGATTAATGAAGCAATATCTTTAACAAAAGTTAATTTTCAAGATAGTAATTATCCTCGTGTTTATTTTGTTTATGATCCTGGATTTTCTTTACATTTATTACATACTGATTGGTATCTTGTTCCAAACGATTTAAAAACTCTTTTTAAGAATGGTGATCCATTAAAATCTATTGACTATCAAAATAAAGATTATTTTGCTGAATGTTTATCATGGTTAATCGATATTAAATATGAAAAATTTATGAATATTATTCATGAAACAAAATTTATTCTAACAGAAAATTTTGCATATAAACTTTTTCATTTACACGAAAGAAAATTAACAAAACTAGCTTTAATTATTGAAGGTGACACTGGTGTTGGAAAAACATTTCTTTTAAAATTCTATTCATTATTATTAAATTCAAAGAATAAGAGAGATTCTCGTCAAGGAAATATTTTCCCGAAAATTCTAGAAAATTCAAATGAATTTCTTCTAAATATTATTGAAAAAATGGTTGAACCACAACCGAATGTTTTGAATACATTTATTCAACAGATTAGACCAAAAATTGTAAATCCAGAAAATAACGATGAAGATGAAGCGGAACTTCTTAATCAACGGTCAATGTTATTACCTATTCTATCTACTGCAGAACAACAAGCACAAAATAATGCAGCAACTGATGATGTTTTTTTGAAAGATATCAAACAGTCATTAAAAAATCATCAATTAAAGAAAACTATTTTATATCACATTTGGAGAACAATTCTAAGCGTTGCAGCTGCAAATGCTACAGCTTCACAGGAAAATTTGATGAAAAATTTACATGACTATGTTACTAATGAATTAGTTAATTATCCATTGATTAGTAGTAGTTGTCGATTACAAGAGTTACTTCAACATACTTCATCTAGTGCTGAAACATCCATTGAAATATTCAAAGAATATTTATTTCATAGTCAAACAAAACCTATATTCTATCGTCTTCTTTTACATCCCGGTGTTAGTAAAGAACAACTAGTTGAGTTTATGGCTCCGATTTCTCAATTAGCACGTGACTTAACAGAAATAGAAATTGTCGTTTTCTTTGATGAAGTCAATACAGCTTCATGTCTTGGTTTATTCAAAGAAATGTTCATGGATGGAACATTATGTGGTAAAAGCATTCCAAAAAATATATTCTTTACAGCTGCTATTAATCCATATATGAAAATTGAAGAGAATACAGAACAAATTCATCGTACTGATTATATTGTTCATGAATTACCGGAATCATTAAAATATTTAAAAGTCTCCTATGGAGCTTTAGAATCTAAAACATTAGCTGATTATATTGTACGAAAAATAGCCATGTTTCAAGTTAATTCATCGGCAAACAATGATAAAACAATGCCATTAGAACGTTATGCTCAAGAAACATTATCTCATGCAATTTTGACAGCACAAGAATTTTGTGAAAAATATCTTGGTAAAGTTTTTAAAAGAAATTCATAAGATTTAATTTTCCACTTTTAATATATCTTTTTAGGACATAATTCTGTCTCACAACGAGAAATTCAACGATGTTTTAGTCTAATTAATTTCTTTTGGACTTTACGATATGATCACGAGCTTAACTTGGGCAAAGCACAAAATGATCCTAATCCTATTCGATGTATTGCTTTATCGATTGCTTTAACGTATTATTTTCGACTTCCAACAAAAGAAGATAATTTACAGCGTAATGATAAAAAATCGCCATCACGAGAGCAATTAGCTGAACTACTTTGTGAAGCTATACCAAATTTTGATTATATTGTTCAAAGTGAATTAGAACAATTTGTAAATACTAATAATTTTGTTATTCCACAAGGTGTAGCAATAAATCAAGCTGTATGAATTTAGCTTTTTTATCTTGTCATTTTAATAATCGATTCTTTTCTAGGTTCGTGAACATATATTTTCTATTGTTGTTAGTATTGTCACACGAACAGCTTTATGTATCATTGGTGTTCCTGGTAAATAATTTATTCTAATCTAATCTTAGTACATCTCTATTTTTCTTAATAAAAGGTCAATCGAAAACATTGTCTTTTCAAATTGTTCTTCAAAATCTTCAAGGTGCACAACTATCAACAAAACCATTTTGTAAACGTCTTCCAGCTGTTGATCCATTCTTTTGCCTTGGATCAAAATATAGTCGTTCAGAAGATATTGCTTTTATTTTCGATCGTGCTATCAAACGTGAACAACAATATGAACAAAATCGTATGAATACACGATGTGTTCGTTGAAAATGACTAATTCTATTGTATTTTTTGTTATACTATTTAAATTTCATTTTAGGTCGTTTTCTTGGATGAAGCATCGTTACCAGATGAAAAGAAGATGGTTTTAAAAGTTTTACATCCATATTTAGACGAATGTAAAGTAGCATTCGTTGCTGTTGCCAACAAAGCATTTGATGCCGCCAATGCTAATCGAATGATTTGCATTTATCGTTCGTTACCATCGGAAGATGATCAGAAAATTTTAGCCTATGGTTGTTTGGGATTACAATTAGAACAGCAACAATCAACAACAGATGATCGTCTTGATAGAGTTATTTATGGTTTATGCCAAGGTTACCGACGAGTTCTTCGTTCACCAGATACACCTCATATATTTCATGATCGTGATTTTATTTATATGCTAAGAGAATTAAGATTTGAATTGATGAATTTCAATGAAGTTGAAGAAACCATTATCAAAGAAATAACGCCAAGAAGTTTATTAAGAGCGTTAGAAAATAATTTTAATGGAGTTCGAGCAGAAGAATTTGATAAATTAGTCGATAATTTTGCTAGAGCTGTCGGAGAACAATGTCCTGAATTTCAATCACTACTTACCGAAAAGCAACAATTTCAACGTAATGTTCCAACAATATTACGTAATTCGATGAAGTTAGCTCCAATACGTCGTCGTCTTTATGGCAGATACAAATTAATTATTGATGAATCTGAAGATGAAAGTGCTGTTCGTCTTCTCTTTCAAACTGGTATTCTCAATTCTGATCCAAGTCAAACTGCAGTTTTTCGTATGTCTAATTTTCCTGATGATATCGATAATGAATTACGAAATGTTGAAATATTATCAACAATTAAATTANTTTCGTTGGAACTATTCATCTTAGGTAACGATAGATTCACTTCTTGTTTCCTGTCTGGAAGATTCTTTCAAGCAGGTTTATCAGTAAACTTTTCTATTCTATTGACTGATGTGGCTTTGTTTTCATCATTCTATGGCTCTTTAGTTCATTATGACAGTCTATGGCGAAAAATGCGAGTTGAATCGAACATAGTTCCTAATCCTCTCAAAAATAAAACTAATTTTGATTATTCTGAAATGGGAATTATCAATCAATCGATACCTGATAAGAGCTTTCCATGTTGTACTGTGCCCGATTCAAGCGCAAAATTCAACTCAGAAGTTTTTCACTCGCACTGTATCTGCATGTACAGAGCATATTCTGAATAAAAGTATTTAATTCATCTTGTTAATAACTGTAAAGATACCAGATAATGACGTTTTTCGCTGATTTTTATCGAACAATTAGCATGATCTATACTTTTTGCAGAGGATCTTGACGATAGTCGAATAAGGATGCACGTAGAATTGATTGTTCGATGACTCTTTGAAAACGTGTTAGTGTTAATATTAGTTTTCTTAGCTGATGGAATATGAGCCAGTATACATTACTGTAGGATTAAGGAAATTTGAAAAATTCGCAAAGCGGTCTCCATAGTGAGATAATGTGATACCTTTTGGAACATCTCTACCTCAACTGTCTACTTTGTTTTAAATCATATTCTTGAAAATATTGGCATAGATACTACTGGTTTATCTAATTAGTTTTTCTATTGTAGGCCTTTGTCTTCCTGTTTTGTTCTTTTAAATACAAATACTCTCTCCAGTTCCCTAATGGACTTTTTTATTAGTCTTTTAAAATTGTAGAACTACATTCTATCGAACGGTCAACATGCAAATTTTTTGTTCGTTCGTCGAATTGAATGACAAACATATCTTTGAAACCAATTTTCAAAGTTTCTTCAATTTTGTAACCCGCTTGATACAAACTCCCAATACTCCAAAATATTGTCGTACAGCGCACATATGTCAGCATATCTAGCTCTGCCATTCCTAAAACTTTTTTTTTTCAGTTGATGCAATTTCACTGAAGAAACTAACCTTGAATTTTGAGTCAAACGACTATTACATTCGTTATAAATATTATACAGAAAACCTAATATCAATTTTCTCGATTATATCATATTGGTTGACCACAAAAAGTTCAAGAAAGATAATTCTGAGTGTTCTGCTGAAGATGAACCATAGAAAAAATTTTGAAAATT